TAACATGAGGCAACGCAGGTGGATGGAGTATTTAGAAGACTCTGACTTCACTTTGTATTACCATCCCAGTAAGGCAAATATGGTGGCTAATACACTCAGCCGGAAGTCACAGAGAGTCTTTGCCAGTGTTGCTTCCCAGGAATGGCAGATGCTCGAGACTGTGGAGCAGTTCGGGCTACACTATAGGAGTCAAACTTAGAGCACTTTGGGGAGTTGGGTGGCTACGTCTTTTCTACTGAGCAGAGTGATCGAGTCCCAATGACAGGACACGGAGATATTGTCTATCAGGGACTGAGTACAGTCAAGTACAAGTGACAAGGGCTAGGTCATTCACCTAGATGGTAGTCTTCGGTTTAGTGGAAGGGTTATAGTTCTCCAATCTACGGATCTGAGAGAGGAGATCCTTGGGAGTTCAATTGCTCTCATTTTATTGTGTATGTAAGTGGCACGAAAATGTATCATGATCTTCGTCGCCAGTACTACTGGAGTGGGATGAAGAGGCACATTGAGTACTTTGTTAGTCGATGTCTCACGTGTCAACAAGTCAAGGCTGAGCACCAGAGACCTGCAGGGTTGCTTCAGCCCTTGGAGGTGGCTGAGTGGAAGTGAGAACACGTCACGATGAATTTTGTGACCCTTTTACCACGGACATCACGGGGGCATGACGCGATGTTAGTAATAGTGGACCAGTTTACGAAGTCGGCACACTTCTTAGTAGTACGGATGACCTTCACACTGGAGAAATTCTGTTGATTGTACATATTGGAGATAGTCCGATTGCATGGGGTACCTATATCTATACTATTGGATCGGGATCCCAATTTCAAGGCCCATTTTTTGGAGAGTTTTCAGCAGACCATGGGGACACAGTTGATGATAAGTACAACTTTTCATCTCCAGACGGACGGTCGGTCAGAGAAAACTATCCAGACTTTAGAGGACATACTTTGGGCATGTGTCCTCTACTTAAGGGTAGTTGGGAAGAGCATTTACCCTTAGTGGAGTTTGCCTACGACAATAGTTATCAATGCGAGCATACAAATGACACCCTATAAAGCACTTTATGGCAGGCCTTGTCGTTCTCCAATTTTTTGGACGGAGGTCGGGCGGAGACCCTTTATGGGTTTGAATTTGGTTAAAGACACCTTGGAGAAGGTGAACTTGATACGAAAGCGTCTTCTCACGACTCAAAGCCGGCAGAAGAGTTATGTCGACAAACTGCGACGACTTCTGGAGTTTGAGGTAGGAGATCACGTTTTCTTGAAGGTGATGTCTAAGAGAGGAGTGGTCAGGTTCGACAAGCAAAAAAAGTAGTCACCGAGGTATATCGGGTCATTTAAGGTACTCTAGAGGGTTGGTACAGTTGCTTATCGGTTGGCGTTGCTGCCAAATCTATCGGGTGTGCAGTGTTCTATGTCTCTATGCTCTGGAAGTATACTCCAGATCTGACACATATGGTGGATTGGGGTGAGTTGATTGATGATGCTTATGAGACTTTTCGAGGAAGGACCGGTGCGTATCATGGATAACCGGGAGCAGGTTTTACGAGGCAAGACCTTGAGCTTAGTGAAGGTGTTATGGCAGCACCGAGGTGTGGATGAGACAACATAGGAGAGTGAGGACACTATACATACCAATTATTCGTTATTGTTCGAGGATGGAGGTACATTCTTATAGTCATTTATGTTATATTACTTGTTGCATATGCATGCAGTTAAGTGTGCATTTCGAGTACGAAATTCTTTTAAGGGGGGAAGAATGTAAAATCCAGGTAAATTTAAACTTTTTATGAAAAATGGCAAAACGGTAATTTGTTATTACAGTACAGATTGGAAACTCAAATTTTTCTAGAACTTGGACGACGAAACAGACCTCACTGTTGGATTCGTCTCGCGAAATCTAGTTATCTTGTCAATTTTTGTCGAATTCTGAGATAGTCGAATTTTTTATATTTTTCGAAGTATCGTGTGACATAAAAAACGACCCCAAAAATAAAATTTCAAAAATTTTATTATAATCTAAAGCTTGTTGAAATAAAAATATTTTGAACTTGAATCGGGATGAAATTTGATTGTTTCGGGCCGAAAATGGTTCCAGTAATAAAGGGTATAAATAGGGAACGCGTGACGCAATGTGAACCAAGCATTCAAGGGTATAAATAGGAGACAAAAATCTGATTTTTCTCCATTCTATTCTGTTGAGTTTTAATGTTGGAAGAGAAGAGAGGGAAGAGAGGAAAAAAGAGAGAAAGCTTCACCTTCTCTCTACAATCTACGGAGTTCCGCCGGTTGGAATCCTTTAAGCCAAGTATTAAAGTTCATCTACGCGACGAGGGCTACACAACCATACCAAAAAGGACAGATTTTACCAAAGATTCAAAAATGAAATCTTGGGGAAATCAAAGTTAGAGCTTGAGAGGTATTATTGAAGGCTTTTCTACCATTGTTTTATGTTTCAAGAGGTAGGGTTTATATCTTAACTAGGTTTATTTTCAACCTAGGACGATTATGTGAAATGGGTAGGTTGTTAGATGTATTTTAACATTTGCCTATTGTAGTTGATTTAATAGAAATGGGTAAATTAAATTCTAGTATGAATTGGTAATTAGAAATTGCAAGCTTGTAATTTCTTAGAAGTTTTGATAATTGGGTATGTAAAAATCACTTAATGTGATTTCTTGAATTATGCGATGAATTTGGGTGTTTTATGTGATTAAATGATTGGATGCCTTGAAGATATTTGATTAAATACCTATGTGAAATTAAATGTGTTATTGCATAGGTGATGTATAACATACTTGAGAAAATTGCAGTTGAAAGGAATATGTTGATATATTGACATTGTGATGAATTATGCTAATTATATGCTTTTAATATAAATTGTCATGGAATATGTAGATATGTGGTTAAATTAATCCATATCATAGTATATTGGACATGATATGGGCGTTGCAATTGTACATCACATTGCATATATACGAAAACATCGCATTTTGTGAGTGTGTGTACATAGTTGTCATCAAACACCACACTTGGTGGATGGTGAGTGGGCATGGGAAAGTTGGCCCAAGATCCGGCTAAGTCGTACTATTTGCATTGAAAATAGAATCGGGGTTAGCAAAAAGGGCTAGAATGTCCCTCGGGTGCAAGACCCGGTGATTGGATACGCACTCCTTTCGTGTAGAGTCCATAGTGTTTCGGTGTGCACAGAACCATTAGTGGAAATCCATGAATTCTATGTTGGTTGATTGCCCGTTGGTGTAAGTCAATAAATACTCACCCCAAGAAAGACCTAGAGATTTTTAAAATGTCATTAAGGGCTTGGAATGCCCAGTTTTATACTCATAGCATTGCATGGGTGATGGGAACCGGTAAGGGCTCAGGTTGAGTTGAATGAGTGAGTTTTATCTCATTTCATGACATTACATAGTGAATTCCAACATTGAGTTGCATATTCTTGATTGGAATGCTTTGTGGCTTGTTGAATTGCATGTGACATTTTATATGCACTTAGGTTGGGGAGTAGCCTTTTTAGGAGATATCATATTGAGTGTAGCTTACCCTTTATGAAAAAATATTTTAGGTGCGGGTTATACTAGAAAGATCTTATTCGGGGTCTCAAAGATGAAGAAAAGCCGACTTGTGGCTTTTAAACTATTCTTTTGTAAAAATAAGATGTCAATTAGTTTTTAGGCATGTAATGTATGAAAAAGAATTGTAATCGAACTCATATAGACTATTTTTAAATATAAAATTGCATGTTGTTATATGAGTATGGATAAATGGATCTGGTGTGGTCAATGTTGTATGATTGCACAGGTTGTGTTTTGGGTAAAGCTCCCGTACAAAGGAGGCTCTGCCCAAATTTCGTGGGTTGATGGGTGATTAACGGGTTGACAAAGAACCCCCGATTTTTAGGATGTCAAGACTACAATGAGGATGTTTGTTTATGGAATTGCGACAGCTGTTGTGGATGATTATACGAGGATTGATGAGAATACCTCAATTGAATCATTAAAAAGGCTTGTTCATACGGTTGTTGAAATTTTTGGCGACATGTACTTGAGACTTCGAACAATGCCGACATTTATAGGTTGCTATCAGAAATTGACATACGTTAGTTTCCTAATCATGATTATACAATGGGATATTATCTTATTGATGGAATCTATGCTTCGTGGACAACATTTGTGAAAAAAAATTCATGCCCACTAGGGCCAAAGGTAAAAAATTTTGCTGCAACTCAAGAGTTTGCAAGGAAAAATATTGAACAAGCGTTTTGGAGTGCTCCAAGAATGTTTTGCAATTGTTCGTGGCCCTACTTGTTTTTGGGATTGTTAAATACTTTAGCTGATCATGAAGGCTTGCGCTATAATGTACAACATGATTGTTGAGGATGAACCCTACGAAAATCTTCCACTTAATTACGATGCAAACAAGATTAAAAGTAAAGAACTTGTCATGTCACACGGACACACCTTAGAATTTTATGATTTTATTCGAAATCGCTTACACATTTGTGATAGGAGAACACATTCTCAACTCCAGTTGATTGGTTCATCACTTGTGGAATTGTCATGTGAGGAGTAGTAACATATAATTTGGTTTGAATTTATGTTTTAAAATTGTACTTTTAATTATCTTGTAAATTTGTATTAGTTAAGTTTAATGAATTTTTCTTCAATAAAATATATACTACTTTTTATAAAAATTTATAATATTTTAAAAAATATTTATTTTTAGTAATATTTATTTTAATTGATTCTAAAAATTATTTTAAAAATATATATTAAATTAATATAAAAAAAAGATTTAAAGATAAAAATATATTAGAATAAATTATTTTGACATATGAATTGAAATACAATGAGGTGAATATATTAAATTCTAAATATCAAAATACCACGTAAACCTTCAAATTTAAATTTGGCATATCAATTTTGACATCTCCATTTGGAGGTGCTCTTAAAGACTTGAGTGTGCGATGAAAAACTTAACAGGGGCAAAACAGACAACAAGCAAAATTGAAATTCTAGGGTTCAAGTTTGTACGCACGCCACACCCCATGCCCCCAAATATATATCCGCAGCATTCACCTTGCCCAACTCCACCAGCAACTCAGCAAGCAGCTCTCAAACCCTAAGGCGAAAATGGTACTGTCTCTCTCTTCAGATCGATCCACAGCTGAAAATATTTTCTTGAAACGACGTAATAGTTTAATTTGTCATGTTTATCAACGTATCTATGAGTTAGGATGTTTTGTTTAAAATTGCTTTTTGCTCTACGACTTTTTGATTGTTAGAAACGAAGGGGAGCTCAAACATGTGGAAACTTTTGTTGTTCGATTTTATCAACTTCTAGAAATTCTTAGGTTTAATGTCTAATGATTTTCTGTCTCGCCAAATTTTATCGGTTTCAATGTAATATTTGTGGCCAAACACCCGCGACATGATTTAGTTGTTGTTGACCTAGTTTTGTCTGATATTTGTATCCTCAGATGCTTAAAGCTAGGTCCTTCCAGCTTTGAGAGACCTGTGATGGCTGATGACACTTGGACCATCTTGACCCAGCTTTATTGGTGTATCTGTGTTGTATGCAAACATTGTAAGCATTGATCTCGTCAGGGAAAAAAAAAGAAGGGAAAAAGTGTTCAAGCACTGTACGGTTCTTTCTATGGGTACTAAACAAGTGACCGCCGCCTAAAAACTTGATACTTTCTCCTACAAAGAAACTCACTCATAACACAAACTCCATTTTTAATTCCATCAACTTTTCATCTACCAAAACAATGTGTTAACTCAGCCAATCTCCTTATTCCCCAGTTAAGGACCTTGCATAAAAAACATATATGTAACACTAGATTTAGTAATTTAGCTCGGTTCATATCATTTGTTAGAAATTCCAATTTGTTGTTCTACACATCACTACTTTCAGTTTCAGTACTAAGCACACTGTATAAGGTCATTTTTCACCCCGAGAGTAATATCGTTAATTTTAGTCCTCAAGTATTGGAAACATGTCCATTGCCAGCCAAACAGATCTTTCAGCTGAAGTAATTCCTTTGTGAAAGTTTGTTTTGTTAATTGCCGTTTTGAGGGAAGCCTAATAGTTATGGTTGATGTTACATAATATTTAGGTCCTCTTGAAGTCTTGTCTACAGATACTGGAATGAATTTGGTTTGTATTTTTTATGGGATATGGTCCCGGAAGTTTGCATTTAGATATTGCAGAGATTTTGGATTGTCTTTTCAGAATTAGACTGCATCTTCTTTCTAATGACTTCCAATTTTTCATGTGGAGTGTTTGATGAGGCAACCTGTTAATTTGCTTTTTTCATTAGTCTAATGGTGACAACTGTTCTTTGTTTATTTTGTATGCAGCCTAAGCAAATCCACGAGATCAAAGATTTTCTTCTCACTGCTAGAAGGAAGGATGCACGGTCTGTGAAGATCAAGAGGAGCAAAGATGTGGTTAAGTTCAAGGTTCGCTGCTCCAAGTACCTCTACACTCTGTGTGTCTTTGACTCGGAGAAGGCCGACAAGTTAAAGCAATCCCTTCCTCCAGGTTGGCAAATTATTATCTCTGCATTTTACCTCTATTATCACATGTACAGGATACATCTTGTTGCACAAACTTTTTGGACATAAGATTGAGTTAACCATGTCCTATATTGATTAGAAGATTTAAAGCGCATATCCCTGAATTGGTAAGGAGGCCCAAATTGGATATAGTTTGATGTATTCTTTTAATGCTTTGAACTACATATCAGATGCTTAGATGGTATTGCTCAAATAAATGTGGTAAGTAGATTGGATTGCAAAATGAATAAGGCGAAGAGTTATAAATTGCTTATATTTTGTTGTATAAATGCTTCATGATTTTGTTGCATGTTGTTATGTGGGATAAAACTATCTCCTCTTTGAGGGAAAGAGATTTAGTGGATCATAATTGATTACTAATTTATTTTGCTTGATTCTTATTATTGACTAATCATGCTTGTAGGTTTGAGTGTGCAAGACCTGTGAGCTGGGCATGAGAACTAGTTGCTGAGAACTGTTTTTGTTTCTATTTATGCTTGTTTGACATAAGTTACAAGACTTTTTGGCAATGTGATTTGGATTCAGTATTCTGCAGATTCAGATATTAGGTTGATGTGGTTACTTTTACCAGCTATGGATATATACTATTGGTTTTCCCATGTGCCTGTAGTTTTTATTTGATTGTTCCAGCTTGCTTATTTCCTTCGTTGGGTACCTAAACTCGGTCTTTACTGGTTGATTTGTGAATTCTTCATTTTGAAATATTGTTAGACCCTAATCTTCCGACTATTGCAAATGTACTAATAATGTTACTATGCATTGGTGCGACTGTTTTTGATGTTGATTAAGTTTTGAACTTAAGACTGTTGTTAATGTTGGGAGATGAAACATTCATCGACAATGGTGGAATATGAGCAAGGTAAAAATAAGGGATGGATATTTGAATACTCTTTGAATGTGGTTCCCGCAGAGGATGGATTTAGTTTTGGAGGGAAATGCCTCGTTTGTGCAATGTGACTATGAATAAAGTTCTCTTTCCTGACTTTTGGCAGTCCTGCGGTTGGGTTAGGTGTCACTGATTTGGATCCATATTTTTTCTAATATTTATTTTCCTTTAATTCCCCCTATTGGCAAAAAAAAAAATTACCTGTTGGCAAATCACGCTCATGGATGAGTAAGGAATTCACTTTATAAAATAAGTTTTATTTGAACAGAGGGAAAATGTATTGAAGAGAATTTTGCTCTAGGATTTTTACCTTTGTTTACCACCATTTATTAAGGATGGCCTGTTAATGGATCGGATAAAATTGGTCCCAAATCGGAATGTGATTTGGAAACATGGGTCTGAATGTCTTTTACTCACAATTCATATTAGACAAATTTAGTATCTAACTAATTGATTTTAGGTAAATCTAGATTTAAAAATTTAATCTATTGACAAACTTATTAGGAGTATTGCGACTGCCAACTTAGTTGGGATGTTTGGGTTCATTGCCAAGATCCAGATATTATCTGGGCCAAGGAATTTCTAACCAGACCTTGGATTTAAAAAATTCAAAAGATGAAGTGTCATCATCAAAACCCAGAAAAGTTAATAACAGGATAGTTGCAATCCATTGTGCCAAAAAGTTTGTTACTTGGAGAAAAAATCACGCGAGTTGTGATTCACTTGATCTCTCTCTCCTTTTACTGTGAGTGATTGATTAAATGCTACGTTGTGAAAGTCGTACCCTTCAACTAATTTATTTATTGCTTGCATGCCAAGTCCAAAATCACCGACACACTTGTCGTTTGTTGACCTAACAATATTTGGTTCACGACACTTGATCTTATTTCTTATTGTCTCTTTTTTTTTTAAAGGATACTAACAAGAACACCGCACCCAATATTAGCTGTATATTCTGCAATTCAATTATATATATATATATATATATATATATATATATATATATATATTTATTTTTTTTCTGAAAAAATAGTGTGAAAATGTCACATTGACATCTGTGATATTATAGTCAAAAACTTATGTAGCGAATGCTTCGGTGAATTCAATCTTTGAAATTATACAACTTGTTTTAAAAAAATATCGAGTGAAAAATGCATACCTACAATCGTGAAATTATGATTGAAAATTTTTGTAGAGAATGCAAGGGTGGATAATATCAATTGCAATCATGGTGGCGGTCATAGTAGTGATGATGGTGGTGGCGATCACACAATAGTGGTGATGGTGGTAGATAGTGGGTATTGAAAAATTAAGAGTGTAGAATGATTGAGGGTATATTTCTCTATTATAAAGAATTGATAAAATTATCACTAACTAATTTTTTTAGCATTAAGTGATAAATATGTAGTTTGTTACTTAAAATTTTAGTTTATTCTCAAGAGGTATTTAAAATATTAAGTTGTACAAGTTTTAAGTTATCAAACAGATTTAGTTCATTAAATACTTAAAATATTCAATTTTAAGTCTAAGTGGTGTTATCAAATAGCCTCTTAGATACGATATACTTTTCATCCACAATTATAATATAATTAGTGCTCAAATTATGTATTTTACTATTTAAAAATGTGTACGGAATGATTATTTGCAGATAAAAAAAAAAAGGGAAAAAAGAATGCTTATGTGAAACCCTTGGGTTGAGGCCGAGGCCCAACTCAAAGCATAGAAGAAGTAGCAAAGGGAGATGGGGACATTGCATCAGAGTTCTTTTGCTTACTATCATTTTCTTTTCTTTGTGGAAACTTGAGGGAAAATAGTTTTCTTACCAATTAAAAGGAAGAGAGTTAAGGAGCAGCTGGTCAGGGGCAATTAACTTAATAAAGATAGTATATATTTTAGGATTAATTACAAAATATCCCCTCCAAGTATAGGTCATGTTACAATCAACTCCTTGTAGTTTCAATTTAAACAACTTACCCCCCTCAAGTTTGTAATTACATTAATTAACCCATTGCCGTTAACTCTTACGGTAAAAAATGCACAGAAGTTGGCCACGTGAGCTTAAATTCCATTAAAAGACATATTTATACTTTTGATCCCTTATTTTCTAACCAAAAAAAAAATTAAAAATTATCTCATCTCTTATATTGTCCTATTCCCACAAGCCCGTTAGGTACCAGATCCCTACCCCTCAAATCCCCTTTAGGCAACAACCCTTCAATAACCCATCTCCCTCCCTGACTTTTGCCTCCTTCCACCCACTCCATCAAGCCTAACCACTGTCGCCCAATAGTCTAGCCCATCCCCTTCATAACAAACAACCCCACCCCTCCCATCAGAGGTGACCACCTACGATAAGCAATTACCAAATGAAAAATGTATGTGAACCGTTACATTTGCACTTTTCTCCCTTGCGCTGGAGCTTTGCTCCAAGTCATGGTTGAATCAGAGTTAGTTCACATCTTTTTTTGGGATTTTGATCGAATCGGAGTGGATTGGGTGGAATCAGAGATCTATTGAAGGTTGGGTGTTGAATAGGGGGAATCAAAGCTTAATTGATGGTAGTTGTGCTACATTGGCAGCGGCAATGAAGGTTGGGAATGATTGGTGAGGGGGTGCCTACTGCCGGCATTGGGGATAGAGGTGAGGGGCTGCTGGAGTTAGCTATGAGGGTTGGGGTACGACCGAAATAAGGGAAAGGGCTTGGGGGGGGGGGGGGGGGGGGGCAGGGGAAGATGTTGAGGGCCGCCAAATTTAAAAAAAGAGGTTGGGGTTATGTATTATTTAGGGCTCGTGTTTTAATGTATCGGGTAGGAAGAGAAGAAAGAGAATATATTAAAATTTTATATATCCCATCCACTTTGTGAATCAATTTAATCTTGCCAAAACTTTAGGTGGACAAATTGTTTAAATTGAAACTACAAGGAGCTGATTGCAACATGGCCTATACTTAGAGAGGGTATTTATAATTAACCCTATATTTTAATTTGGTGAATCGTGTTTCGACACGCAGCATACTCGTTTTAGTGGAAAGTATATTTGAAATTGTTGCTTTACAATGATTGCATTTTAACAGTGCAACAGATTTTTATTAAGTTGTTGTTAGAGAAAAGACACTAGTTACACTTGTAAGCACCGGACCGGAGGGATGGAATAGCATTAAGTAGTGTCCGTTCAATCAAATAATGAAACACACTGAACCTTTGTGGGAATACAGCATTGGACATAATTACGAGTGAACTCCCTTGGCTCAAAAACTCTTCCACATGATCTTATCGTATCTCATTCTTAACCCATGCTCCTTTATTGTGACAACAAAACTGCTCTCCACATAACTCAAAATCCCGTATTTTACAAATGAACAAAATATATTGAATTCAATTATCATTTTGTTCGTGAAAAAATACGTGATTGTCTCATATCGATGGCTCATGTCCCCACTAATCATCAACTTGGTGATATATTTATAAAAGTGTTAGTTCGTGCACCATTTCAAGATTTATCATGCAAGTTAGGCATTACAGATCTTCATGATACAACTTGAGAAGGAGTTATTGCACGGAATAATTCCTGCAATCGTATGAGGCAGCGAATTCTCAACTGGCGAACCTGAAATAACAGGGTCAGAAAAAGGGAGTCAGGCCTGTACCCGACTAATCCCCTCAGAAGCTTAAGTCAGTATAAGGTCAAAGGGTTTTGTTTAATGAACTATTTTTTTCGTTCAAGTTTGCGTACCTTTCAAATCTCGTTCAAGTTTGCGTTAGTTCGTGCACCATTTCAAGATTTATCATGCAAGTTAGGCATTACAGATCTTCATGATACAACTTGAGAAGGAGTTACTGCACGAGATAATTCCTACAATCGTATGAGCAGCGAATTCCCGGCTGACGAACCTGAAACAATAGGGTCAGAAAAAGGGAGTCAGGCCTGTGCCCGACTAATCCCCTCCGAAGTTTAAGTCAGTATAAGGTCGAAGAGTTTTGTTTAATGGACTATTTTTCTTGTTCAAGTTTGCGTACCTTTGTTCATTTTTCTGAAGAGTATTTATACCTGAATTAGCAATTGATGATGCACAAAAATGGTTTTGCACACCACCTGTCAAGTATAGGTAATAAATGCAGTGAAATCAATGAGAAAATTAAAGAAGACACGATTTATAGTGGTTCGGTCAATTCGACCTGCGTCCACTCTTCAATGGCTTCAGTTGCCGGGTATTTTATTAATTCAAAGGTATGGAGAATAAAGATACAAGCTTTGAGAAAATGGAGAATCAAAGAAGCAGTGGTCTCCCGTCGTCGGTTTGTCCCCTGTAAGTGTTGGTAGGGCGTGCCATTTATAGTAGTCTCCTAACAGATTGGGGCTACTTTATAGCAGCTAAAAGATCATTCTTGTGGAGATCATGACTTATCCTCAAGGCTACTTTATCGCAGCTAAGAGATCATTCTGGTGGAGATCATGACTTATCCTCAAGGCTACTTTATAGCACTAAAAGATCATTCTGGTGGAGATCACGACTTATCCTCAACGAAAGGAGGAGGTTGAGGAGCTCTTCATGAAAGCGGTCAAAGATTGAACCATTTCCTTCGGTGGTGCAGATAAGCTTCTCATGCTCTCCTCTTGGTGACGTGCTAAGCAAAAAGTCTAACCGGTCTTGGACTGTCTTGGGCTTGGTGGATTAAAAATGAGGTTGGGCTCCTCAACTGGGGTTGGACTTTAACACATAAATTGGACTATTTGGGCTTAACCCATCATTTGCCCCCCAATGCCCCATGTCCAATGAGACTTGGAGAAGGAGGCATTGACTATATTATTATTATTATTATTATTTTATTTTTAAACTTCAAGTCTTTCCCACTTTATTTTGAAGAGGGCTCATAATATTCTATTTGGCCTTTTTATT